TACACACATATAATTATATGTATATATATATATATATATTGTAATTGCTATAGAATATGTTTGTATTCCTTCTAAGTTACAATCGAGTCATAAACATAAACATATATATATATACATATAATATATATATATATATATATAAGTATATTTGTATATTTCTATACATAAATATAACTATTCATACACCGAAACAGATATGTTTGAAATTACATATATGTATGTATGTATATATGTCATAACATACAAATATGCCATCTGTGTATATAACATGTATATATATACATATTACAAAGTGCTACGAATGCCGACAACACCATAATTTTGTAGTTACTTAATAGGTAATTTATTATATTTGTATATTATAGAACGTGTATCTACGCATCGCATGTATAGGTGCGACTCTAATAATCGTATGTTACGCCAAGCTCGTAAGCCTGAGGAATATCAGATAACCAACCAGCGATACAAGCATTAGCGAAGCAAGCAATAGTTCCAGTAATGAGAGCACGGCCAACGATTCGAGCAAAGTCAGGTGCTCTGTGAGGAGCAAGAGGAGTCAGACCACCCAATTGGATACCCATCGATCCCAGATTGGCAAAACCACATAGGGCGAACGTAGCGATCATCTCTGAACGAGGGGAGATAGTAGTGGAATCAGGGATGGCCTCTTCTCTGTTCTTCTGGTACTGAGCAAGTGTGTCGTAGGCGATGAACTCGTTGATGAAGGTCTTTTGACCCAGCAGTGTGGCAACAGCCAAGGCATCTTCGGGAGGGACACCCATAAGCAATACAAAGGGATAGAACACGTAACCGCATAAAAGGTCAAATGACAAGTCGGGGATCCCGACACAGCCTCCAAGGTTTCCTAGAATAGAATCTAGACATGCCAAAAGTGAGATGAAAGCAATGCACATGGCACCGATGTTGGCCATAAGTGGGATGGATGCGGAGGCACCATTAGAAATGGCCTCAATGAAATTCTGTTCCTTATCCATCTCCATTTTGAATTCGACGTTGTCCTTGGTCAAGGAGCGTTCAGTCTCGGGGTACACCAGCTTGGACATAGCCAGGGCTGTGGGTGCCGCCATAACGGAGGCAGACAACAAACTAGCGGCATCAATACCCATACCGATATAGGCAGCCATGACACCACCGGCAATCGTGGCGAAACCACCGGTCATAACTGTATGTACAACGGAAGACATAGTAAACAAGGGACCAAAAAAAACCATCGAAGAAACCATGATATGATACAAATAGTATGTATAGCGCTACTTTTTCCAATATAATTCAAGATGGAAGAAATGTTTAGACACATACCAGCATGAATCTCTGACCTCGTCATATCGGGAAGGAATGGACGAATGAGCAGAGGAGCCTCAGTCTGTCCAACGAAGATGTTACCAGCGGCGGAAAGAGACTCTGAACCACTCGTACCCATTGTAACGCGCATACCAGCACCAAGACCAGCAATGACCCATTGAATTACTCCATAGTAGTACATGAGAGACACAAAGGCAGAGAAGTAACAGACTGTGGGCAGCACAGAGAAGGCGAAGAAATGTTCTTGGTAGCCATCACCGAATACGAAAATGGATCCTTCATACGAGAAAGCAAGGAATTTCGCGATAATTTCACCGACATATGAGAAGGCGGCCTGTCCCCACGAGGTACCAAGGATGACAAGACCGAAAACAATCTCGAGAGAGAATCCAACAAGAACCAGCTGCCAATTGACACGTTTTGGGAAAATAGACATTCCCCACATCATTAGGATGTATACGAAGTATCCGCCTGAAATATACAATACAAGATTGATTCAATAGATGCGTATGGGAAGAAGGCGAATCAGAAATATTTCGATCCATACAAAATGCTATCGAAGTACAATAGTTCCTAGTCATTACAGTAATCTACAAAGTACGTTCACCGTCGACTCCGAAACCGATTAATTCATGACACAATGGAATGATTGAGACTACTTACAGATTGAAACAATTCGAAGGGGCTCGTTCCAGATTTGGTTTACGAGACAGATGACCACGATGACAGTTGGGAACAATGATCCGAAGAAAATGTAACAAATTTTCTTGTGCTCAGACATCCACGTAATCATGGCATCATACGCTTTACCCAAGGGCTTCTCCAAAAGCCTATGTGTAGATTTTGAAATGGGTGTGTTGGTTTAGACATGACCTTAAAACAAGAAGTCTGTTGAAACGATTCAGACGTATTGGACAACGCTGAGGCTCAACTTGGCACAAGAATACCAGCACATCTCGCCAAAATCAACGATGCGACATATCACGAAAAGAACAGCGAATACAAGCTAGTAAAAAACATACATTGGGTATGGGAAGCGGAAGAATAGATGCCACCCAACGCCGACGCACGTGATGACGAGCCATGGGAGTGCGCAGTCGAAGTCCATAGAGATGGCGAAACCGAGGTAAACTATCCAACCTACTGCTAGGACGAGTTGTATCAACTGAAAGTTTGCGTGTACGGGAGAGAATATATGATATTGAGAAAGACGATTTTGACACCATTACTCGTACTGATTGCTACCAACGCGAATGGATAAGGGTAAGATGCAGCATACAAACAAAGCAATCAAGCGAATAAGAGTATAAGGGGCGTACACCTATTGTTTGCAGTGACGCGCATGTTAGTTTCCACGAGGATATTTGGCCTTGCATCCGAATGGCCTTGCATCCGATAACAAATATCCTCGGCAGACGTTCTGATCACTTGTCACCAAATTCAACGTACAACTTTAGTATTACGCACTGCAATGGTACGGGGTCCGCATGGTCACATGGTTGGCTAGTCAGCGGAGCTCCAAGCACATACAGATGTGGAAGTTATCCGGTGAAAACTTACCTTTACTAGAACATGCGCGTTCTTGGCAAAAAAACCCCATATTCCTGAGAATTCGGGTTGATTCTGTTCATCATCTGTGCTGTAAACGCCAGCCTCGCTGTCGACCGCCTCAAGATTGTCTACATCCTTCTCCTGCAAATCAATTTTTGACTCAACTGACTCAGTCATGACGATCAAAACTGTAGAGAAGTACTAAGTGTTTTTTAAATGTGAAATACGAGATAGTTGCGAATTGCCGCTCACTTCTTAAGTATTTATTGACAATAAAAAAGTGGAAGCAGAGATCGAGTGTTGTTGTGTCACTTGTGTGTGATGTACATATCTGTACTTTTTTTTCTTCTCATATGTGGGAGCACGGGATTCGCTGAATTCTTCTAGTTGACCATATATAGCTATTGAACCGATTTCCCACTTCAAGTGCCGAGAGCCGAGAGTAGAGAAGAGACACGAAGAGTGAAGACAGTGCTTTGACTTTCTCAAGAGAAGGGCTGAGTGCTTTGACTTTCTCAAGACAGTGCTTTGGCTTTCCCTGGCTGAGTAGTGGGAAATAGGTGGTAAAAGAATTAAAAAAGAAAGTCCACTCCTGGGGTCTGTGGGCCAGTGGCCCTTGGTCCTAAAAGCGGGAGCTAATGGTGCATTAATGCTCCCACAAGTGAAGGGGCTGAAGGCTGGGGCTCTGGGGGCCTGGGGCCCTGGGAGCCTGGGGACCGGGGGCTCGAGAATACCTTTGCCGTTGGTGAAGAGCATTTTTATATATTATATTAATTTATTGTTTTTAAAAAAACAAAACCGAATATTCACAAGATATATTTTTGCTCTTTTACTTTAAAAAAAAAAGTCAGCCAGCTGTCAGCCTTCAGGACGCCAGGTTCTCCCCCCACTAGCAGAGAGTCTGAGCCCTGGCAGGCTGGCACGCGAACGTGGCCACTGAGGCCTGAGCCCGGTTTGAGATTTTACAGCTTGAGAACCTCTTGCGAGAGTGGAGAGTCGAGAGTTCAAGATGTCTGCTATCTGAGGAGTATGAACTGTGAACTGAGCGGGAACTGAGGAGTGAGGACTTCTCCAATGAGGGAGAAGAATATTTACTTCTAAAAAGGAAGAAAGCCATATATAGCTATTTTATACAAAATCGGCTTATTTGGGTGGGCTCTAAGCTTTTTCGCTCAATTTTTGCGTGACTTCTCGGATTTTCCATTTTCTGCGTTTTATTTACAATAATTTTTTTTAAAATATATTTCTTTAGATGTATGTAAATAAACCGAGGGCTATGCTTTTTGAAAAAATTAGAAGTAATATAGTTAGAGAAAATCAGTTCACATAAACCTCAAGACCGGCGGGGATTTTGCTATAGGGGTTGACCCAAATGTATATTAAAAAATACATTCCATTGGTCACTAAATAGCAAAAATTGTTCGCATTGACGGATAATAAACACATACTTAATCTCATCCCGATCGTACTATTGGTTCAAAAGTTACAGATATTTTGGTTTGTACCAGAATTGAGTCAAACTAGCCAAACATGAGCACTATATAAGTCCGTTCACACCTATCAGACATCCCTGGAATCAAAGTATGTTGCTCCTCGTGTCTAACTGCTAACATATGTCAAGCCCTTAAGACCGACAAGGACCTAACATAAGTGCAACAAATGGGTTGTATCCGCGCTACAATATCTAACATTTAAGTCGAGCGCTTTCAGCCGACAGATAACAAACAAGCCGGTAGAAAACAAACACATCTCACAAGTGCTTAAGGTCACTCGAAAAAGTAAAGTATGAGACTGGTAGGAAACTGGGCCTGAGGTGGTTAATAATTTTATTGTCACCAGTCTTTTGTGTAGGAGTCGGCAACTCCTAATCGGGAAAATTCAGGATTCGCGAGGGAATCTGAATTATGGATTGTTTTTGGGTCTGGTACCATTCTTGAAATTTCAGTGCACAATGTCGAAAAATTGTGGCCAATGACTTTTGAAGGGTCATCACATGACCCTTGCGAAACGACTAAACGTAGAATTAATGAGAAATCGCGAATAGGTTAGAGCTTAAAGTTCGTAGACATTTCGTAGACATTTAGGCTTAGTTGTAGACCTTTAGACCGCTACGGGTCAGTCGGAAATTGTATAAATAGGGTAGTATAAGCTTGCAATTCTCAGACTTTAACACAAAGGATTGAGAAAGGATAGAGGAGGATTACTAAGACTACCTGAATCGTGAGCTTTGACTGGGGCCGAGCCAAAAATCAATAAAGGATACTACTGAAAAATTTCGTCTAAGTCTTTGGGCAGGGTTTAGGGTTTCTAGTGTACCTTGTGGACCAAGATTTTTGGACTCAGGGCTTTCCGGGTTTGGCCAAAGATTTGTGGAATCTTGGGATTGCCGGCCACGATCAAATCAGGATCAGGACAGGAAATCAGGGTCAGGGATCCTATAATTCAAGCCGCCGTCTAAGAGAACTGTGCCGTTAGTGTTGCTGCCAGCTGTTGTTGGGCATAGATATACCGGAATTGATCTATTGAAATTGCATTAGACATTGTCACTGATAGATTGAGGAGACCCATGCAGTAAAGTTTAGAAGAGTAGAAATACACTTGTTCGACTTTTTTTTACGTAGGTGTTTCGTTGCCGTAGGTATTTTTACCGTATCGCACCCCTTAGAAGTGCTCTGAGGCAAATACTATCGTAATTTCAATAGTTCGTTTCGTTATGGCTAATGCAGAGCAGCAGTGGGTTGCAACGATGGAAGCGAAGGTCCAACAGATGGAGGTAGCATTAACACAGCTTCAGCTGCAATTGACAAAGAAAAGAAATAGACCTCGTGGGGCTAGAACCAATCTCAAACTGAACAAGCCATACGTGTATTATGGGAAGGCTGATGTGTCTTGCGTTCACGAATAAAACCCTGTCTGCCGGTCTGCAAACTATGTTCTTGCCACCAAATTGGGAGAACGACTGCCGCGAGAAGCTTATGGCAGTACGTCAGCCTGGTTCGGTGCGTACATATACTGAAACGTTCTAGGAGCTACTACTCAATGTACCGCCGAGGAGAAGGTTGCTGTCTTCATTCGTGGACTGAAGGATCAGCTGAAGATGGAAGTTCGTCTTAAGCACCCTCAAGACTTGACAGAAGCGATGAAGCTTGCAGACATAGCAGGGTCGATTATGCAAAAGTCACAGTCCACCGACACAGTTACCAATGTCACCGGTGGCGCAAATTCAGACCCGTGCAATAAGTGTGTCAAGAAGGGTCATTTTGCGAAGGATTGCAAGTTCGATGGAGATTGTCGAAAGTGTGGTAAAAAGGGCCACATGCAGGCGGTATGCAAACAAGAATGACATGCGGCTGCCGTGCGGCGCATCAGGGATAGCAAGAGAGTTTGGGGAGAGGACTTTCTAATAGATGGTCGTACGGTGTTGGCTATATTGGACAGCGGGGCAGAGATAAATGTAACTCCCCCATATTTATTTTTCAACTTCCCCATATTTATTTTTCAACTTCCCCATATTTATTTTTCAACTTC